GGGGTGTAAACTGGCCACTTCATCATGATACGATACGATATCGATTCTATATTATATACCTATTGCCGTCAGAATGAGAGTCCAAACAGCTGATAAAAACATCACAATAATCCACACCCCTCCAGTCCATCAATTAACATCTTGAGGAGCCACAAGCTGCGTGTTTGTAAGCAAATTTATTATTAAGACATTTTAACTTCAAACCATTGACTCCAGATAAAATAGAGTCCATGGCCTCGTGGGCAGCGCACTGACATGTAGCGGTTTTGCGCTTCAGGCGTCCCGAGTTCGAGTTCCGGCTCGTGGACCTTTCCCGATCCCACCCCCCTCTCTCTCACCCACTTCACTTCCTGTCGACCTACTGTCCTATCTAAATAAAAGGCATAAAACGCCAAATATAAATCTTTAAAAAAATAAATAAAAAAAGAGTGGTCTCATCTGAATCAGGTGAGAAAGATTTTGATGTGAGTGACAACAGGAGATGGACTTTTCCACTGGAGGAAGCGTTATTATGGATTATGGACCCGTATTTTGGCCATAAACAAGGGTTTGCTGATGGCACCCATTCACTGCAGAGGATTCATTGGTGAGTGATAGAATGCTACATTTCCCCAAATCTGTTCCAATACAGAAACAAACTCATCTAAATTTAGATCGCCTAAAGATGAGTCAATTTTCAGCAAATGTTCATTTTAGGGTCAACTATTCCTTTAATGGTCCTAAAATAGGCTTCATTTTTTTTTATGCAAATTTAATTATGCAAAGAGATTTTTTTCTCTTGATTTTGGGGTGAAATATAAAATATATCTTATATAAAATTTAGCTTTGACTGTTCACATTCATGTTTGTGAGTGTGAATAAGCGAAACTGAATCCAAGCACCTATAGTTTTACGAACACATTTATCTGCGTTCGATCAGCTTATTCAATTATTGACGTCAAGACCAGAGAAAAACCTGATTATTTCAAAATAAAATCAGGCCTCACTTATACAAAAAAAAATTTTTTTTGTGCATAAGAACGTATATATGACAATTCGGCCTCAGATTTGGTCCCCATCCATGCTGTAGTGTGAACACAGCTGCTTATAAGAGCCCTTATACAATCCAACTCTTTTTTTAGCTCTCTGTTTTACAAAGTACATAACGTCTTGTAATCAGAAGCATCTGTTCTTTTTATAATATGTGACAAGTACGTTCTGATACTTCTGCATACATTTCTACAAGATATCAATACTCAACCTAATCAGCGTTAAAACATCTCACGAGTTGTTTTGCATGAACAGAAGGCAATCATGTGGGCTGACCTGATCTATAGATACAGCCAGAAACACTGTTTACCATAGATATCCATTCATTTCTTTAGAGAAAAACAGGAGAAATAAATAACATTAAAATATGGCTATTTTTAGAAAGGAAAGCACCAAAAAAGTGTGGTTTTTGCACTTCAAATAAAGCAACAAAAAAAAAATCAGGACAGTTTTTTTTCAGTTAATTAAATATAAGAAGCTGAAATACAAGATATGTAATTTTTGTTTTATTTATATACTATTATAGTATTTATTTGTACTATTATAGTATTTACAGTTTTTATTTTTTATTTAAATTTTTGTTTTAATTTAAGTTTGTTATTTTAAATTAAATATTTAATGTTTTATTTAAATATTTAATGTTTTCTTTTAAATATTGAACTTTAGTGCTCAAACTTAGTTTATTTCAGTAAGCAGGCAAGACAACATTTCTAATTTTCGCTTAAGTTTTTCATCTAATATTTATACATTCTTTTTTTGTCGATTAAAACTTATGTTTTCGTTTTTTTAGTTAACAACAGCAACACTGAAGTGCTGCGAATACAAGCAATTCAGCAACAAGATGATAAAAGACGCATGTAAAATCACAGTTTTCTTCTGCAATGAGGTAATTTTCTGACATTCATTTATCATATTTATATTTAAAAATGCACAGTCTACTGCTGCATACGTCCAAAAGTGAGTCCACATGCATCTTGTTTATAAACTTCTCGCAATCATTGCTTGACTTTTTTCTTTTTCAAATGTCTGACAGAAATAATTGATTTTTTTTGCTTTATTTAAAGTGCATAGGACACAAATATTAAAATTTTTCCCCATAGAAATGAATAGATAACTACGATAGCAATCTTTCTCTACCCGGCTGTATCTATGGTGTTTCACGAGTGCAGCACCATCTGTTGTCCATCTTTGTGAAGCTGCAGCCTCTCTTTCTCCACCTGCAGGCGCTCTTTCTCAATCTGCAGTCTCCCCGACTCAAACTTGAAGAACTGCAGTCTCTCCTTCTCCAGCAGGAGGCGCTCTTTCTCTAACTTCAGCTTCTCCGCCTCCAGATCCACCACCATTGGCCAAGCCAGCTTCCTGTCCTTCTCTCCGTCCAGTGAGGACGACGAGGGGGCAGAGGATGATGTGGTGGGCGTGGCTACAGACGTTGAGGGGGCGGGGCTCTGCTGGAGGGGCGTGTTCTGTTGCAGCTGCAGTCGCAATCGTTCTCGCTCCACCTGCAGACGCTCCTTCTCCAGCTGCAGCCGCTCTCTCTCCACCTCACCCTGCCTCAACCGCTCCTTCTCCACCAGGAGGCGCTCTTTCTCCACCTGCAGCCGTTCGGACTCCACCTGTAAGCGGTGTTTCTCCAGGTCCAGTCTCTGCCTCTCCAGCGCCACCAGCAGACTTGTGTTCTCCAATCCAGCTACGCCCATCCCGGTCAAGCCCCCGACTCCGAGCCCCAGGTCTCGACCCGCCGCCGCACCCAACGTGGGCTTCGTGGAGCTCAGCACGCCGAATTCATCGATGTGAGCAAAGACCTCAGAAACGCGGCTCTCGCGGTCCATATCAGGGAGGATGGAGGGAAAACAGTCTTCATCGTCCTCACCACCTTCTCCAACCTCCGCCTCCAACTAGACAGACACAAAGTCAGCAACAAGTATGAGACCAAGCACACCTATGAGTAGATTTGTTGCGTCATAGCATGATTTTAGAAAAAAAAATTTAAGGTTAACTTGGATGAGTAGGTATTTCAATTTAAGTGGTATTTTCAGGGCATTTTAGCAAATACAATTAAGATAAACACTCCCCTGCACTGAAAAAAAATTATTAATTGAATTTACTACATTTTTTTAAGGTAAGTGGTTGCAATCAATTCATTTTAGCTACATTTAAATAAACAAATTTAGTTGACTTTCAACATTTAAAATATTTTTTAAATTAGATGTAGCTAAAATAAATTGTTTGCAACCACTTACCTTAAAAAAATTTAGTATAATTTTTTCAGTGTGTATCATATTTCCGGAATGATTTCCTATACTAGTTTCTTATTATTTGAGGCGCTGATTCCAAAAATAATGGCTGTTTGCACAAAACATGATGCATTTCGAAGCATTTTTGCTTTTAAAAAATGTTTGTAAGGTGAAGAAGTCTTGTATTTACTCTTAATCGGCAGAAAAATTGCCACAAAGACATGATTCCTGTCTTCCTCTAAGCCAGATTATAACTACTTGTTTAATTCTCAGCCTGTTTTCACATACAAGATATTATTTCACGCCCAATCCTGATTTTAGGGTTATAATTATAGCCAGTGCAGTGACTGAAGAAAATGCTAACTTAAACCTACTTTGTGGGTGTTTTATGGCATCCAAACAGCCACAGAAAATTACTGAATTTTTTATTTATTTATTTTATTTTATTTATTATTGTTTAATTTTTTTTTTTTTTAAAGTCTTCATTCTTATTTTGTAAAAAAAAGGAACAAATGTATTGATTTTTTTTTTAATGAGCTGTAAGATTTTTTTTGTTCTTCAAAGAAGTCTCTGCTGCTCACCAAGGCTGAATTTATTTGATGAAAAATACAATAACAACTGTAAAATTGTGAAATATTATTACCATTTTTAAAAAAAAAGTGTTTTCTATGTGAATATACTGTAAACTGTAATTTATTTCTGTGACGCGCAGCTGAATTTGCAGCATCATTACTCCAGTCTTCAGTGTCACATGATCTTCAGAAATCAGTATAATATACTGATCTGCTGCTCAAGAAACATTTCTGATTATTATCAGTGTTGAAAACACTTGAGCTGCTGTGTGGAAACTGTGATACATTTTATTTTTCAGGATTCACAGATGAATAAAAAAGTCAAAAGCACAGCATTTATTTGAAATAGAAATCTTTGGTAACATTTTAAATGTCTTTACTGTCACTTTTGATCAATTTAATGCATCCTTGCTGAATAAAAATGAATTTCTTTCAAACAAAAGACCACCATGTGTGAGGACTACTTCAACCAAAGCAGGAGACAATCTGATGAAAGTTGTCGGACAAATTTGAAAAGGTAGTTTCTGTGTCTAGTACATACTCTGTAGCTGCAGGCCTCATCGTCCTCAATTTTGACTCCTGGCGTGTGTGTGCCGGGCTCCCCGAGGTCCGTCAGGTCCTGCCAGTCGCACGACGAGTCTTTGGAAAACCCACTGAGGTCCAGCGACTGATCGCCGCCACCCAGAGACGCGTCATTATCGGGAGACGAAGATTCAAACTCCTGCTTCAATCCCGACGCCAACTCGGCCTGAAGCTGCTTTCGTTTCATCAATGCGCGCCAGTCCAGGTAGCGCCGCTTGACCTCGGCCGCCGTCCGCAGCTCCCCCTCGCCGAGAGCGTTCACACTGTCTGCCACCTCCTCCCACGCTCGCCGCTTCAGCTCGTTGATGGCCATGTTCTGCTGGCGGGAGAACAAAATCTCACGTCGCTTGTGGATCTCGCGGATCAGAGTCTGAGTTTCCTTCACGCTGTAGTTGCTCTTCCTCTTCCTCTTTAGGTGCTTCATCTGCAGGAAGTCCATGCTGGAGATGATCGGCTACTGAGAAGCGAATTCTGTCACTCCAGACACATCTCCAAGTTCATGCTGACACACGTTTTGTGTTTCTGTGAGCAGGAAAGTGTTGAGGTCATTCAGAGGTCAAACTGTCTCCTAAGCGCATGCAAAATGACAGCAGGATCAGACCATCTGGTCTCCTACAACAAAACAAACACACAGTTTTAGTTAGTTACACATAATAAGTTTATGTTAATAAATCTGACATATCTGTGCATTATTTCCCGTGAATAAAACCAGAAAGTTGCAATATATTGCATATAGATGACCCTGCAGCACAAAAGCAGTGTTAAGTCGCTGGGGGATATTTGTAGCAATAGCCAACAATACATTGTATGGGTCAAAATTATACATTTTTCTTTTATGCCAAAAATCATTAGGATATTAAGAAAAGATCGTGTTCCATGAAGATATTTTGTAAATTTCCTACTGTAAATATATTAAAACTTAATTTTTGATTAGTAATATGCATTGCTAAGAACTTCATTTGAACAACTTTAAAGCTGGTTTTCTCAAAATATATATATATATATATTTTTTTTTGCACCCTCAGATTCCAGATTTTCAAATAGTTGTATCTCGGCCAAATTTTGTCCTAAATCCTAACAAACCACACATCAATAGAAAGCATATTTATTCAGCTTTCAGATGTTGTATAATTCTCAATTTCAAAAATTTGACACTTATGACTGGTTTTGTGCTCCAGGGTCACATATTTATAAAAATATACATCAGCGTTCATAAGTTTGGGGTTGGTACGATTCTTTTAATGTTTCTGAAAGTCTGTTCTGCTCACCAAGTCTGCATTTATGTGATTTTTTTCTTAAATACAGTAAAAAAACCTAAATATTATAGCAATTTAAAATAGGTGTTTTATTTTTGAATATATATTTAAAATTTTAATTTATTCCGGTGATGCAAATCTGAATTTTCAGCAACATTACTCCAGCCTTTGGTGTCACATGATCCTTCCGAAATCATTCTAATGTGTTAGAACTACAAAGCAAAATAAATAAATAAATGTTATCAATTTAATGATCCATTAATTTGATTAATTTATGAAATCTTCTTATGATGTCTGAAGGAGATTCCATAATCACCATGCAGTACTTTATTACCATTTCACACTATAATACAGGGACTAACAGTACATATGGCGTTTTTTGTAGAAAAATATGGTTACAAGGAAATATTTTGTCCAGTATATCCATATACAGCATGATTATCAATATTACATCACACAGTGCGAATACTATCACTTATATCAAACATAAACACATCAGTGCGGCTGTGTTCAATTATAAACATGTCGCCAGAAAGCGCTGCAATATACTATCATGTTTTCCACACATATGGCTCTTTATATAACAAAAAATAAACGCCATAACACACACCACAAAAAAACCCCAAATGCGCTGCACACATCTGAATATTTGGGTTGAAGTGTTCTGGAACAGTGTTGTAAATACAACTTAACCACTGAGTTCTAGTCGTGTCCTCTTTTGGAAGACCAAACAAAGTAGTTTCGCTTTCACAACGAAAAACACAGCTCTTCACGACATGGCGGCGGCAACAACAATAAAGTTACGCCTTCTTTCTTTGCGTGAACATTTGGGCGGCGTTATGCAAATCTTCCCACATAGTGAGGTAGACATGTGGGGGCGTGTTAGAACGAGCTGTTTTAGGTAGGTGTGGTTAACTCTTAACTTTTATAAAGAATATCTCTTTGGATTTGAGACACTTTAGTCTTTGCAACTTTACAGATCTTCTTTATGCACCAAGAGCTTGTAACACTCCAAAGAGAAAGCAAAAATTTAAATCCCATCATATGACCCCTTTAATGACCCCTTTTGGGGGAAGTTGTGGCCTAATGGTTAGAGTCGGACTCGTAACCCAAAGGTTGTGGGTTTGAGTCTCGTACCGGCAGGGATTGTAGGTGGGGGGAGTGAATGTACGGCGCTCTCTTCCACCTTCAATACCACGACTGAGGTGCCCTTGAGCAAGACACCGAACCCCCAACTGTTCCCCGGGTGCCGCAGCAAAAAATGGCTGCCCACTGCTCCGGGTGTGTGTTCACTGCTGTGTGTGTGCACTTTGGATGGGTTAAATGCAGAGCACTAATTCCTAGTATGGGTCACCATACTTGACCACATGTCGCTTCACTTCACTTAATATAATTTTTTTGTTAATATTTCACTTTGCACAACTTTGCTGCAAACTCCTTGATACAAGTACAAGCTCACTAAAGATGACTAAAATTAAAATGATCGATAGATTTTAGGGATGCACCGATATGAAAATTTTGGCCGATACCGATAACCAATTATTCTTTATATTTGTTACACACATCTAGCAGCATATCACAGCGGGAGAGATATTGTGCTGGATGAAACTGTTCCAGTTCTGATCCTTGTTTCCATGGCGATGTGATCTCATCACTTCAGCATGACTCAGTTATGCCAGTCTGTGGTCATTTGAGGACTCTCATAAACACACACACACCTAACTGTCCAAACCTCACCTGGCAAGAACACTGCATACATTTTTATATTTTTAGTTAGAAAATAGCATTATTTGCCTTGTTTATGAATCATTTGACCTTTGAGGATGTCTACAGAATATCTTACAGTAGTTAAATTATTTTTAACATTTTTTAGTTTTATAACAAAGCAGATTTTGTTTTGTATTTTAAAAAGAAATAAATGTGTCGCAAAAATAACGATATACGAATACGAAAATTTCGTATACGAAAATATATCAGAGTATTACACTGATTTTACCAAAGTAAAATGTTTTATGTTAATGACGTATGTATAATGTTTAATGTGAAAGAAATTACACTAATTACATACAGAATTTTATATATATATATATATATATATATATATATATATAAAAAATAGTTAAATTATTTGTAACATTTTTTAGTTTTATAACAAAGCAGATTTTGTTTTGTATTTTAAAAAGAAATAAATGTGTCGCAAAAATAACGATATACGAATACGAAAATTTCGTATACGAAAATATATCAGAGTATTACACTGATTTTACCAAAGTAAAATGTTTTATGTTAATGACGTATGTATAATGTTTAATGTGAAAGAAATTACACTAATTACATACAGAATTTTATATATATATATATATATATATATATATATAAATTAAAAATTGATGTTCATGAAATATTACATTAATAGTTATTTTTTACAATGAATTAATTTTGTGAATATTTTGTGTTTTTCGTAACATTAATATATAATAATATCTAATTAAAAATACTTGAATTATTAATAATACTGTTTAAGAAATTATTACATTATCTTAATTACTTAAAAAATTTTAAAATAAGAAATACATTAAGAACTAAATAAAATTACTGGTGTTTGCACAATTTGCCACCAGTCTCAAAAGTGAGGTTTTGTCAGATTTAGCCCATGTAGCGAAGTAAACATTACTTTGTACACTGTTTTTCCTTGCATACTGCATACTGGTTTCATATACTATTTTAGTATTCCATATAGACACTGTAAATTATTTAGGCAGTTCATTCTGGATATATCCAGAGGTTTGATTAACTCTGATTGGTCTGTTTTTCTGTCCGTCGAGGCGCTGAAGGAGAGCTTCATCAAAGCGATTGGCACAGGGCTGGGCTTCGATCTGCAGAGGGTGGAGTTTCACATCTCGCCCAATCAGACGCGAGAGGGGCAAGTGTACCGGCAGACACAGATGTACCTGGACAATGAAGTAGAGGACTGGACATTTGAGGTGTGTCTTATATACCAGCATGACTAACTATTCATTCAGCCCATGAGACAGCCAGATGTGTGTGTGTGTGTGTGTTTCTCATGGTCTCTGTCAGAGCGTGTGAACGTGACAGATCACAGACACTTCTCGCTTCCTAGATAGAGCTCACATTCTTCATTCCTCTGGACTTTTCATCTGGCAACTGAGGGAAAAAAAGTTATTCTGCATATTCAATAGCAGAAACCAAAAAACTGGGAAAAAACGTCCGGATTGTGACATGTAGAGAAGGAACGGCTAGAAAGAAAGTCTGAAATCTGCATTTGTATCTGAAAAAAAGTCAGAACTGTGATTAAAAAAATTGCAATTATCTTTTTTATTCATTGGCGGAAACAGGCTTCCATTATTTATATGTGTAGGCATATATTTAATAAAAAAACAAAAAACATTTTATATATGCACATATATATTTAAATGGAACATTTTTATAATTATCTATCTGTCTATGTATTTATCTATCTATCTCTCTCACTATATATATATATATACACCCACACACACATACACTCACAAAAGGTTGTAAAAATCCTAAAAATTACTTTGAATTAAGTCATTTTAATTAATACTATTAATTGAATATTTTTAGTATATATGGAAGCCTGTTTCCACCACAGAATAAAAATAAAATGCATATTTTAATATATCACCCAGACCTCATATGATAGCCCTATAAAATGGTTATTGTTCAATAAATGTTCAGCTTATTATTTATATATATATATATATATATATTTTTTAAGAAAAATATTTCTACCAGTTCTTATAAGTAGAAATACCCGTTTTTGGCTTGACGTGAAGCATATTGGTGATGTTTAATGTTCAATAAATTATTACATGAAGTAATAGTAATTTTTTAGATTTCTTTTTATTAATATTTTTTAGATAATTTTTTTTTTTACTATTTTGTAAAAGTATATATATATATGAATGAGAGAGAGAGTGTGTGAGTATTTTTATAGTATTATAATTAAATATGAAAACGACTCATAATTGACTTTTTTTTCTGTTTTTCAGGAGAGCTTATTGGACAAAGATCATCACGTCGCTGTGGCGCTGGGAAAACCAGATATCAGCACATCTGAAGTGAGTTTAACGATTTTCACGCGATTTTAGAGGACAAGACAGTTCATGACGTCATACTACTTTGTATTGTAGGAGGACGGTGGGACTGTTTGTGAAGCTCCGCCCCTTTCGTTCACACTGTTGAGTTTCAGTGATCTTATGTCTAAAGCCACGCCCCTTCTAGAGGAAGACCCCGCCTACTGGGAGAGATTTCAGAGCAAAAAGGAAGCACCTGTTAGACAAAACGGCAGTGAATAAATTGCATGTTTATATGGATACTGGGGTCTTTTTTTTTAACTCTGCATCTTTGAAGATACTTCAACTTTATTACTTATAACATCATTATTTCCACAGTGGCAATGGATGTTCATAAAAGTCAACTTCACGTTTTTTTTATCGTTTAACCATTTTTTTCAGTCATCGATATCAGCAAACTGATTTGTTTAGGAAGGCACACACCAGCTATTGATGAAGTTTGTGCAGCTGTTTTCCCTCCAAAATGATGTCACTTCCTGGAGGATGATGTCATCAAGGAACTGGCTTCAGTTAGTTAATGGGATATAAATCGTGAGTTTTATTATCCAGTATGACACATCTGATGGGAACATGAAAATGCACTGCATAGGAATGACCCGTTTATGTAAGAGATGAGTTTATTTTCCCAACCTACACCTCCTAAAGTCTCTCTCTCTCGTTCTCTCCATCTGCCACTGTCTATTTTTATCAGCAGACATTCAGCAGGCCATTAGCTCGGTGTGTTGGGAAGGTCCTGCTTTTAACAAATCGCTGCTGTTCGGACGCAGGTATGCATTTCCGCTCTTGTGTCCTTAATTTATTTGCGCAGTAAAGTCCCGCCCCTGGCGCTGATTGACAGGAGCTGCAGCCACACAGCTTGTGAGTTACTGAGCCTGTCGTCTGGAGGTTAAAAGAGCAAAGTCTATTACAGCAAAGCAGAACGGTCGAGGATGAACTCATCGGAAACACAGATGGGATCCTATTCAGATTAAACTCTGTACCCACATGTAATTACATTTTTTCTAAAGTAGGAAAATAGAGACTAAGCAGATTGTTGAGTGATGTACATTTCAAATTGAAATTTTCATATAAATGAGTTTTCATGATGCAATTTAATAATGCACCATCCAATTAAAGTCTTGTTTTGGTTGCGCATGATTTGCATTTTCTTAAAGATGTCTATAAACCAGACAGGAAAAAGGTTTAATATGATATAAAATGATGCAAAATTAAGCATATTATTGGTCATTTTTAATGTTAAAAAAAAAATTTCAATTTATTATTTAACATTGTATTACTAATAATTATATTTGTGATTTTCATTTTTTTGAAGTAGAAATACCTGTGTTTTTGGCTTGACGTGACACATATTGTCAATGTTTAATTGTTGACAGATTGTTACGTTAATAGTAATTTTTAGAATTTATTTTTATTAATCAATAATTGTTTATTTGACCTTTTTTAGAAATAGAAATACCTGTTGTTGTTTTTGTTTTGACTTGATGTGAAGCATATTGACAATGTTTAATGTTCAACAAATTATACATTTAATAGTAATTTTTAGGATTTCTTTATTAATTATATTTTTAAAAAGAAAAATGTTTACCATTTTTTAGCTCGATATGAAGCATATTCTGATGTTTAATAAATCATTACATCAATTACTAGTCATTTTTAGGATTTCTAATTATAAATAAATTAGTAGCATAAACTGGTATTTGAATTGAATTTCTGTGTTTTTTGCCTTGACAAAGTATATTGGTGATGTTTAATGTTCGATAAATGATTACATCAATTAGATCAGATTTTGATGCCAGAACTATCCATTTAATAATAAAATGCAGCCTGAAATATTGCACAAATACAGGGCTTTATATTCTCCTGAAATCTAGAGCATCAGCCAAACGCTTCATAAATCACACGCTCATAAAAACGGGAGAGCGAGCGAGAGCTGCATTAAAGAGAACAGCTCTCCTCCTCTGAGAGTATTTCTGTTAAAGATTTATCATCGAGTCCGGAGTAAATCAGGATCAAGTGAGAGAGATGCACAAGTTTGTGTGTGTCTGTTTTCTGTCTGTTTGACGGAAAGTATTTCCAAGGTCAAAGGTTAAAACAACAGTATCGCCGTCCCATGAGAACGAAACTCTGAAGGGGTTTGTTCTCTTCAGAAGGTCACAAGACAAAAGAGCAACTACAGTCTGTGTGGTTTACTGGCTCACTCAACAGTGAACGTGTTCTGAAACTACGCATGATTTCTGTTTGGTTTTGGTCGTTGTGGACTCAGGTGCTCTGCCGTCACACACACAAGCTTCACTGTCCAAACTCTTCTCCCGGACGACTTCAGTCCATCCGCCAGTTTCCTGATTTACGGTGTTAATCACTATCACTGTGATTTTCTCCTACAGCCGTGATGAAGGCCCTGCGGGAGCCAAAGTGGAGCTCAGACTCGCAGTGGCCACAGATGCCTTGCAGAAACACACAAGCATGCGAAACTGCAAAACATGTACAGCACAGATGGTTCAGAAGAGAAGAGGGAATACTGGATGGATGGACGGACGGACAAAGATTTGATTGGATATGAATGGCTGTGATTGGTTCATGCAATAAATCCTGCCTCGTGTTTGTGCACATTCGCGAATCAGTCTGAATGAACAATATCATGGTGTTAATGGGAAGACTAATTAAAAAAAAAAAAAGAAAGTAAACAACTCACACACTTAGATATAACCACTTGGTTACATCAAAATAAGATTTAAAATGTCATGAAAACAAGATCTGTGGGAGCATATGGGTGTAGAAAATGCAGAGGATGTGGGGGTCGTGCCCCCCTTTTTTAGTAAAATGTAAATTTGCCCCCCACACTTTTTTGGGCAAGTGTTTTCACATAGAAATTTCCAAGGGCCGGGGTGAATAAATTGTTTTCTGAAGTCCACAGTCAACGCAGCCATCTACCAGGAAAGTTTAGAGCACTTCATGCTTCCTTCTGCTGACCAGCTTTTTGAAGATGCTGATTTCATTTCCAGCAGGATTTGGCACCTGCCCACACTGCCAAAAGCTGGTTCAATAACCATGGTGTTACTGTGTTTGATTGACCTGCAAACTCGCCTGACCTGAACCCCATAGAGAATTTATGGGGTATTGTCAAGAGGAAGATGAGAGACACCAGACCCAACAATGCAGATGACCTGAAGGCCACTATCAAAGAAACCTGGGCTTCCATACCCCCTCAGCAGTGCCACAAACTGATCACCTCCATGCCACGCCGAATTGAGGCAGTAATTAAAGCAAAAGGAGCCCCTACCAAGTATTGAGTACATGTACAGTAAATGAACATACTTTCCAGAAGGCCAACAATTCACTAAAAATGTTTTTTTTTATTGGTCTTATTAAGTATTCTAATTAGTTGAGATAGTGAATTGGTGGGTTTTTGTTAAATATGAGCCAAAATCATCACAATTAAAAGAACCAAAGACTTAAACTACTTCAGTCTGTGTGCATTGAATTGATTTAATACACGAGTTTCACAATTTGAGTTGAATTACCGAAAAAAAGTAACTTTTCCACGACATTCTAATTTATTGAGATGCACCTGTATAAGCTGATTACAAAGCAGAAACGTTTTGACTGATGAAACGTGAAAACAACACACGATTGCTACAATATATGGTTTCTATGTTTAAATACTAACTTCATGAGATTCATACTTTGCTTTAATAAACAGAATATTGATTACATCGTTACTGTAAAAATACGTACACACAAGCGCAGATGTGGTGTTTACAACTTACCTTAATTCGCCTCGGTAAAAATGGATAAACTTTGTTTTTAATAACCTCCTCCTTTTTTTCTCTAATAGATGCCTGCTGTATGTATGCTGCAGCTCCTCAAACATTGAACAAAACAAGTAAAACCTTTTTTTTTTTAATTACTTTCCAAATTTAGAAATAATTTTCCTTCAAGTAGTGTTCTCACACTACTTAAATGAAGGAAAATTATTTCTAAATTTGGAAAGTAATTTTAAAAAAAAACGCAACGATGCTCTAAATGTGTTGGCATAGCACGTGATACTTCCGGTTTCCTTCTCCGCCTGTCCTATGAAGGCCGTCTCGTTTAATTCTAGGTTGAGGACACTTCGTATATGCATCCTACAGAGGATGCGACCTCCGGAGGGTGCAGCCTTCTAAATGAGACACAGCCTATGACACACACTCTCCCCTGTTACCACGGCAACCATCCCAGCACAGCCAGCTTTGCCATGGCAACAAGAACACGTGTGATACAGGCAGTCATCCGAGTTAATCTAATCACCATCACTGTCTGAGCAGAGTGAGAGAGAGAGAGAGAAAAAAATCAGCATCTGGATTATGATGTTTCTGAAACGGCCCATCAGAGACTGATCACGCTCAGGACAGACCCCAGTCATGTGACCCGCGTCCCAAATCACAGCTGTGCAGCTGTTTAGTCACTAGTGTTTATAGAGTGAACAGCACAGGTCACATCTGATGAATCAGTCTCCTCAGGTATATGACCTAGAAAATTCATAATTAATACACTTTTTGCATCCACCGACTCAGACGTGTGGCATTATACAAGCTTCTATTCTATTCTATTCTATTCTATTCTTAGGTTTGGAAATGTGGTGGCAGCTTTGGTCTCACATACATTTGTACAATTGAAAAACGTCACATGGTGGGAGTTATAAAAGATTTCCCAGAGTTCAGTGGGAGCGCCCACATGCAAATCTGTGACGTGCTGCAATGTGACCAATAGCAGAGCTGATAGAAGATTTCAGTGACATCACAATAACAGAAGACATCACCACATAAAAAGACTCTGACTCATTGTGCATGTTCACATCCAGAAAAATACATAACAGCCAGACTGTGTGTGTGTTTACCTGTTCAGGCTTTTTTGAAACGTCACATTGAAACCAGTGTTGCATCCCTGTATAGTAAATTTCACATCGTCACTATGTGCAGCGTCACCGTGGAGATGAAGAACATTGTAGGTTCAAGCAGAATGTCCCACATTCACACAATCGAAGGGCAAAAGAAGAGAAAAGGAATGTTTCAGGCCAAAAAAGGCAGTAACAGAATAAAATAATGAAATTTTGCATTTAAGTTCTATTTTAAATCAGCATAAAGAATGTAAAAAAAATAGATTTGCATACAAAGAAATGCTAAACATTTTATTAAGAAATTTATATTTGTATTCAGCAAGGATGCATTAAATCGATCAAAAGTGACAGTAAAGACATTTGATGTTACAAAAGATTTCTATTTAAAAAAAATGCTATTTTTTAACGTTTTATTCATCAAATAACGCTAAAAATGTATCATGATTTCCACAAAAAATATTGGGCAGCACAACTGTTAATAACCAGAAATGTTTCTTGAGCAGCAGATCAGCATATTAGAATGATTTCTGAAGATCATGTGACACTGAAGACTGGAGTAATGATGCTGAAAATACAGCTGCGCATCACAGAAATAAATTACAGTTTAACATATAATCACATAGAAAAGAGTTAGTTTAAACGGTAATAATATTTCACATTTTTACAGCATTTTTGATTTAATAAATGCAGCGTTAGTCAGCTGAAGCGATGTCTTCGGAAAAAAAATCTCACCCTAAAATTGATCAGTAGTAGTACATGTCAGTTTACACAAAATGTAAGTTTAATTCTTTAAAGTATACATTTACATGATCCAAAATATGAAAAACTGCAAATAACAGCGGATTAAAAAGTCGAAGAGGTTTGAGCTGAATTCATTGCAGAAGAAGTGTGTAAAGCAGGTAATGACAGCACTGAGATGTGTTTACGTGTGTCTGTGTGTCCTTATATTACCTTGCCATCAAAAGAATAATTGGACACATCAACAGAGCTGCTGCAGTGTTTTCCCTCAGGTAATACAGTATAATGTGTGTATGCGTTTCTCAAAGGATCATGCCCAGCAGCACAAAGAAGAACAGCACAATGTCTGTTAATAAAAGCACTCTCAAAGAGCAAAGATGATAATTTTTTTATCAAGCAGGCCTTAATGATTAAATAATCATGACATGAGCAGGTCTAATGTCCATTACACTGGAGACAAACACTAAAACACACTCACTGCAGTGAAATGAGTGCATGTCAGGGTTTA